AAAAAAAAAAAATTTAGTGCACAAGACAAATACATGTATTTGATTATACTTATGCATTTATATGTAATTACATAATCATGGGTATAAGAAGAAATTAGGGAATTTTTTAAAAATTAGTGTATTTTAGGAGCTGGTGTTATGTTACAAATAGCCTCAGCAGTAAAGTAATTTCTGTCATGGTGTTTTCTATTTCCCATTAGGATATATTATGTACTCTGAATTTTAGAGTGATACTCATTCAAAAACCTCATCTGCCAAATTTTTATACCCAAATATTCAGTGACTTTACTTAGATTTCTTAACCTTTTATTGTCCCTTACTTCCTAAAAAGAGACTTTTTAGAAATTTTTTTTCTAATTGCTCCTCTCATGAATTTTAGTGCCAGCAATATGTTGTGTATCTCTTTATGTATTGTATGTATATCTGTGCTTTATACATAAAAACAGTAGGTCTTTTTTATGTATCACTAACCAGTTTTCATCCCCTCAAGGGTGATATCACCCTTGGTGAGAATGCATGGGGTAGGTTCATTCAGTTTATGAAATGAATCATTAGTTTACAGTTCGGTTTGTAACTTTTTCCTCTGTTAGCTGTTTTGTTACATCCATTGAATAGTTAATTTAAGATCAGGTTTCTCAAGATTAGGTCTGTTGTATAATTTCCTGGCCCAGTTCCCAGTAAATCATTATTTTCATATGAAAGAACACTTGATTCCCTGTGGGTGTGGTTTTCTTTCTTTTGTTGCAGACTGGCAGATAGTTGTTCAGATAATACTCAATTTGGGTTTGTCTGATATTTTTCTCATGGATAGACTGGGGTTATGGGTTTTGGGGAAGCATACCACAGAGTTGAAGTCTCCTCCTCATGGCATTAGGAAAGCGGGTATCAACATAATTTATACCTGGTGAGGTTAACCTTGAACACTTGGTTAAGGTTGTGTTTGCCAGGTGTCTCCATTATAAATTTACAGTTTTCCCCTTTTCACAGTGTACTTTCGAGGTGATTAACTAAGTCTAGCCCACACTCAAGGGGAATGGGATTAAGCTCCACTTCCTGGAACAGAGAGTGTCTATATATGTTACTTGGAATTATTCTTTAAGGAAGATTTGTCACTTCTCTTCCACTTATTTAGTCATTT